GTGTGCGTGTGCGTGTGCGTGTGTGTGTGTGTGTGTAATTTCTGACAGATCATGAAGAGGAACCTGAATAACGTGAAGAGAATGACATCTCATCCCATCTATCAGTACTGTGAGTGTCTCTTATTTCACACACAAACACTGTGTAGGGTTTTGATGAAACTCCTGTTTGACTTCTTTGACATGTTTTCAGATATGACGGGTGCTCAGGACGGCAGTGTGAGGATGTTTGAGTGGAATCGTCCACAGCAGCTCATCTGTTTCAGACAGGCCGGCAACGCTCGAGTCACACGCCTCTATTTCAACTCACAGGGCAACAAGGTATTGAAGCAGTCATTACCAAAATCATTAAACCTCATAACCACGTGATAACCAAGCCATACACCATTGTTCAAAATTTTGGGTCAGTAAGTTTTTAAATAAATACTTTCAATTCAGCAAGGATGCATTAAAGTGCTCAAAACTGACAGTTGGGACATTATATTGTTAAAAATATTTATATTTCAAAAAAATAATGTTCGTTTGAACTTTTTATGAATCAAAGAATCCTGAAAAAAAATGATCACACTTTCTACAGAAATATGAAGTGTTTTTTTCCATTCATATTAATTTAAAAAATAAGATTTCTTGAGCACCAAATCAGTCTGTTAGATCCTGAAAGATCATGTGACACTGAAGACTGCTGAAAATACAGCTTTGTCATCACAGGAATAAATTGCATTTTAAAACACAAAAACATATTAAAATAGAAGTTGTTAATTATGCATTAAAAAGGCTTTTGACCTTTGGTAAGTTTTACTTATGTAGTGTATAATCATTTCCAGGCTCATTTTGTGTCTGTTCATGTGCTGTTGACTTCATAGAATAGAGCGAGTACGACAGCTGTCTGTGGTGTTATATAATAAGTCCAGTACAGTAGCACATCTGTTCAGAAAAGGTCATCCTGTTGTGTCTTCTGTCCTTTATATGAATCATTATGCAATATACAGCTGAAAATATTGTCTGTGCCTTTAAATATCTCCATTCTTGCTGTCTGTCTGCAGTGTGGTGTTGCAGATGGCGAAGGCTTTTTGAGCCTCTGGCAAGTCAATCAGACCTCCTCAAACCCCAAACCTTATTTGGTAAGACCTTTATCTTTGTACCGCACAGGCCTTCCCTTACTGACGGTCACAAACTGCCCTCATAGTGTGATTGAACAGTGTGATTGAAGTAGATATAATATCAAAGCATGTGGCATCTGCAAACAAATGATAAAAACTAACTTTACTATTAAATACATGTTTGATAATGCAGAGTCACTGTATAATATGAAACAATAAGCATCTCTGCATGTCTGTCTCAGAGCTGGCAGTGTCACAGTAAAAGCTGCGGTGATTTCGCCTTTATTACGTCCTCCAGTCTGATTGCCACAGCAGGACAGTCTAACGATGGCAGGTCAGTTAAATGATTTATTTTACTGTCATATAGAAACAGGTTTTATGGATTGATTTTAAGGAAATGTTTCCCTTTCTTCCACAGGAATGTTTGTTTATGGGACACTCTGATCTCTCCAAGTAACTCTATGATACACGGTGAGTCCACAGACTCTTAAGGGAAGATGTTTTTTTTTTTTTTTTTTTCCAATTATCCAAATAATGTAATAAGTGATTTAGTATTATTTCATTTTTTTATTATTTTATTTATTTTTTATTTAATTTGTGTTAGCTTATGATGTCATTTGTTTCTGTACAAAAGAAGTTTAGTTTTTCGTGAACATTTTCCACACTCTTTCGTTCATCTAAATACTGAATGGGTGTTCATGTGTGGGTAGTCATATGTTAATGTTCTCATGGTGGCGACAACATTATCATGAATATTTCTAAATGTGTTGTTTTAAAGCTTAGTTTTAATAAATGGTCTGGGTGGACTGAGGATGGAATATTTTAATACTATGTCTACATAGTACCACAGACATTTCCAAGAGCAAGAATGGGCCCATTTTCCATTAATATGTTTGTTGAAGATTACTTTTATTGCTAGTTATATACAATTATATGTACTGTCATTTAAGTTTTACAGGGTTCTTGTAGGTCCTTTAAAAGTCTTAAATTCAGTTTGATCAGGTTTAAGGTCATACAAGTCTTAAATATCATAAATGGTATATCAATAGTCTTATTTATTTTAAGAGCACTTAAATAAGTTGACTAAAAAATGGGAATCGTGATATGGCCTAATGTGATTATTAAACTTCAAAGGCAATTATTTAATTAAATGTGAGTGCTGCACGTTCAAAGTCAAAAAGCAGCACTGTTGCGTATTTATGGGCTTGCACATTCAGAGCAGTTTGTAATCAGTAAATACCATCCATTTATCCATAAGAGATTGTTTATGCTCTAACTTTGATGAATTATGACAATATTTACTTTGTTTTTTACGTTTGTTTGTTTTTCTTTAATGTTGTAGAATGTCATAAGAGTACAATATTTTATCACCCTCATTTTTTTTTTTTAATGAGCAGGTGGAAGTAGTAAAGCATAGATATTCAAAATAAGTTTTTTTTTTCTTTTTCGTTTTTTCTGGCTATTATTGGTGTTTTGGCTGCCCTATCACAATAAAGAAGGGAAAGACAAAGACCAGCTTTTAACACATTCAGTATTTAGATTTTACTGATATTGCACAATAATCTTTTTATTGATTTTTGTTGTTGTTGTTATTTTAAACATTATCGTATCAGCAAAATCAAATATCGATCGACCAGTAATTTGTGTGTTAATATATTAGTACATAAACCAATTTTTAAACATATTTAACTTGTTTAACCCTGTTTTGCAGTTGAATATGTAAAAGAATCCGAGATGCATGATTTATTTTGAGATTGAATGGGTTTGTTCTGTATGAATGTGATATTAATTTTAGAAAAAAGTTTTAAAAAGTCTTAAATTTGATCAAAAAAAGTCCTTTTATTCTGCTATCTTTCTATATCCAGCGTTCCAGTGCCATGAGAACGGCGCAACGGTTCTTCAATATGCTCCTAAACAGCAGCTAATCATCACGGGCGGCCGGAAGGGATTCGTCTGTATTTTTGACATCCGTCAGAGACAGCTGCTACACACATTCCAGGCACATGATTCAGCCATCAAAGCGTTGGCCATGGACTCCACTGAAGACTTCTTCGTCACCGGCTCAGCCGAAGGGAACATGAAGGTATATTCCCCTAAAATGACACACTTCATCTTAAACATCTCCTGTTGCTGTTATGTGGATATTTATGCTAAAAACATAAAAAGCAAAGTGACATATTAAAAAAAAATATTTATTTAAAAACATTGATAACTCCAAAAAAGAAATAATTAGACTGAATTTAAAGTATCGCCAAACGACAGAATTTTTATTTTTCTCACCAAGTCAGTGCTAAAAGCTCCTCCTTCACTAGCATGTGTGAAAACTGCAACTAGCAAACAATAAGTCCACCTTTTATCTTCAAGCAAATGACAAACTAGCAAGCGGTTCATTTTGTGATATTTTTTCTACTGCTCACTATCAATAGATTCTCTAAAATTGTTCTTAATTATTTGTTAAATGTGTGTAATTAATAATAATAATAATGTGATCACATTTTTAGGATAAAAAAAAGTATCAGCTTTTAAATGGGAGGAGAAATGCTTCTCATATCTTTTTGTTGTTGAAGGCTGTGTGTAAAATTAGACTTTCATCTGTCATTTGATAAAAAGACTGGGAAGATGTGTAAAAAATGACAACCTGAATGAAATTAGAATTGTTCTATTCAGCCTATGCCAATAGTGTTCATGCCTATACTAAAACATTTCAGTGTTTGTTTTTAAGGACATTTCTTTTTACCTATAGTATATGATAAACAATTTTGATAATGCGTTGGATCACCTCTTGCTTATAACGGTATCTAGAAGCATGGTGGTCTATTGCAGATATAATAGTAGTGTACATAATACACTTTAATGATAGCAATTGAGATGTATGCTGAATTGCTGAAAGGTTTCAAAATATTGAAAAACATACATTTAAAAAAATGTTTAAAATATTTTACTGTATTTGCAGTATGTAAGTCTGCTTGCTTTTGGAACTGACACAAGGCAGTTGACTTCTTCTAACCTGTCACTAACCTAACAGCATTCAATAATCTCAAATAGGTAAAAATGTGTTAGTCCATCAACCTGGCTATATATCTACAGTATAACTAATATATAGTGATGCTCCGAAATTTTCGACAATCAATAATATTCAACCAAAAAAATGAATTATGGGTTTAAGCCATAACAGTGGTGATATTTAATTAGCGCTTCTCATATGGTGTGTTTTTACTGTGTTAGTAGCTGCGTTTCCATTCACCTATTGTTATGCGCATTTTGGAATATCGCATAAAAAAAAAACACTGGATGGAAACGCCAAGATGCGCATAAATTCTAAAAATGCACATAAAAAAATCATGCGCACATTTGAGTAGGTTAAACTTTTTAACCGATAAGAAAAAATGCGCATAAACTACGATGGGAACACATTTACAGAATAAATTCCTCCATGCAAATCAAAAAAGCCATGTGACTTTGCGCTATGAGACGGGATAACTTGACAAGCAGCGGACCGATCTCGTTCACAGCATCTATATGTTGTTATGGTCATTCTGAAATGCCTGAGCAAAGTCTGTCATCAAAGTATTTCGACTGCGTTCCCATACAGCAGCATCCACCTCCGAAAGCATTGACAGCATTTATTGTTACGTCTGCTCGCTCTGAGGTGCAAGTAGTTTATATCATATATTGAAAATTATTATATTCAGTGGCTTCTCCTATATTCTTAGTGATATTTAGTGCCACAGTTTACCAGGAAATGACGATTTTGTTCTCTTTGACTCGTTGGATGGAAACGGTGCTTTATTCGCATATGTTTTATGCGATATTACAGTTTTGCGCATAAGTTTAATTCGAATCTTTGGATGGAAACATAGCTAGTGTCTGATCTGAGTACACATCGTGAATAAGCTATTAAATGTTTGTTATTAGATATTTCAGTAACAAATTAATACAGTACATCATTAGAAAGTTCATATAAAAACCATACAGCAACTGTCATTTAAATTTTTCTGTACATTCCAGTTTTTTATTTGAATGTTGCTTAAATGCATTGAATTGATTTATAAAATTTTATTTTCGGTTTTGTTTTTTAAACTTCTGGTGTTAAGGTAAAAAATAAATTTTTGCGCATCATTTTTAATAACTGCATTCCTGTTCTGGTTCAGGTCTGGAAGTTGGCGGGTCACGGTCTCATGCACTCCTTTAGCACCGAGCACGCTAAACAGTCCATATTCCGAAACATCGGCGCCGGCGTGATGCAAATCGAAACCTGCCCAGGCAACCGGATCTTCACCTGCGGAGCCGACGGGACCCTGAAAATGAGGGTCCTTCCCGACCGCTACAACATTCCAGCCAGTATATTCCAGATCCTCTAACACCGGAGCGGCCGTAGAAGACTAATGCTTTTATCGGCACCTCCACGTTTCCTTAGCTGTGAATTGTAACAAATATCTCGCACTGCAGAATATCTTTACCACCCCGCCCCACAAAAGACGTTGGAAAACACGCATGAGGTCCCTCAATTCTAACAATCGACTACTGTAATTTCTGGAGACGAATTCAGATAATGTGTTGGTAGGAAAGCCGTATGCATGAGCTGTTTGAATCATCGCACTCCATTCCCAGGTTATTGGTCGTGCTCTGTAAAAGTGCTCAAAGCTCCATTTTTAAGTGTGTATGTGTGTGTGTGTGTGTGTCTTCATTCTGTGCCCATTTTAGCATCTAAATACCAGCACTGTGCTTCTGATATCAGTGTAAGTCCAGTTGTTGGATTATGTTTTTACTGTACATTTTCTCCTTGGCTGCTAATGTATTTGCAGAGTGTAAAAATGGCAGAGTACCCTGGCAGCCCGGCGGTTGCGCCGTGGCCCCAGAGACACACCCCCTCCCTTCCACACGCACACGCTGCCGACACGCTTGTTTCCGTAGCAGCCAAACAGCTAAACATTCCACGCAAGGCGATGATGCTTGCTCCTGGAAATGGCGTGTTTGACCTTTTCATCTCTCAAGCCCTGAAATTCTCACTTTGAATAGAAAACGGTTTGGTTTTGCACAAAATATTTGTTCGTTTGTTTGCTCGTTTTAGTTTCGTTTGTTCTTTTACAAGTTCTTATTTATATTTAATTTTAGGAATGCAAGGTATGTTTTAGATGTCTGGGACAAAGTGCAACACTGAATAGGTTTGTGTTTTATTTATTTATATATTTATTTTTTTCATGTTTTATCTATTCTAAATATTTGCACTCAGATCTGGGGAAACAATAACACTCTTACGTTACAAGTAATAAAAGCTCTATTAGAGGAAACTGTTATTTACAAATGAATATCTGGCTTTGTGTGGCCGAGTAGTAAAAAGTGGAAATAGTTTTAAATGAATAAATATATAGTCTGCGTGTGTGAAAATGCAAACCTCCAAAACACTGGTTGATATTTCTGAAGGAACAGGTAGTTCTGTCATGGTCAAAGTTTTATCTTTGTAAGTTGAATAAATTCTTTTTATTTGAATTAAGTCATTTCACTTTTACTGTTTCAACTCCACATCTTTATATTAAAATGTTTCAGGGTTTATTTCAGGATTACCAAGCATTTGTAGCTACATAAACATGCATGCAATATAAATAAAACAACATTTGGCAAATATATTTTGTGTCTTATACATACTAGCAGTCTAACACAATATCTATAACATGGTCAACAAAAAAAATCAAAGTTCACCTTAAATTAATGCACATACATAATCTTATTGTGTAGGGTTTTTGAGTGACGTTATCTTGAAAAGTCTTAATGAATTGATGCTGTGAAATAAAATAGCAATGACAGCAATGGTTATGTATACGAAGTTACTAAATTCTTGTAATGCACATAGAAATTCCATTTATTATTTACACGCATTTGGCCTTTTGGCAAGAGGAGAAGGAATTTCTGTGTAAAATTGGTAAAACCATCTTTATGTAAAGTATATTTATAACAATGGTTTTATGAACAGTTTGCACAAAAATTTGCTCTGCTTGTGCTGCATGAATTAATAAATATTCATTTAAAATGCATGTTAGCTGAAAAACTAAAATGCGACAAATTAAAAATCATACCAAAAAAATAAAATATGGTAACCCCAAATTGCATTTGGACACTCAATTCAGATTTAAAAATGCATTACATTAGATAAAAATTTTCAAATCAAGCGCATGTATTTTAAGGAAAGAAAGGGCAAACTCACTTTTCAAACGAAACATTTTACAAAACATGTTTGTAAGGCTTTGAATGATAAACTGAAATCCTGCGCTCTACTCAAACTTGTATCTACAAAATTTTATTAGAACTGATTTATTCAATTGACCCTTCTCAGGCTTTAAACATTGCTAGTAAAATTTTGTAACTGCGCGCGTTTGAGTAGTGTGCAGGATTTATTTATTTATTTTCTTTTTTCCAAGCTTAGTTTGAATTAGACGCTATTCCCCGGTTTCACAGACGAGGCTTAAGCCTATCCCAGACTAAAATGCATGTCTGGGCTGTTTTTCCTGAAAGGAAATGTTTTGTCTCAGGATGCACACGAGTAATGTTATTTTCTAAGGCAGGTTTATAAAAGATGCTTAAATGTCCTAATTGAACTGTGGCCTAATCCTGGCTTAACCTAAACCCTGTCTGTGAAACAAGGCCTGTATTTTCTATTTAGGCTTTAAATGATTAAAATGTATCAACTTGGATAGAACTGATTTCATACAAAAAAAAATAAAAATAAATAAATCAGTTGAATAAAAGCTGTTTGTTTTCCGATGACACTTGGCTTTATATTTTATCTAACACAATGAGATTTGAGGGTGGCAGAAGTGTCCAAATATTTGATGCGAATATCACTAGTTAGACAATTTAGTTCTTGATCTATCATCCACTTGAGAAAATAAAATATATGGGTACACATATGGGTAGCAACTGAAGCATTGGTTATTTGCTTATAAATATACATGAACATGACAAAACAAAACACAAAGTATTGCAATTATGTCATTGATTTTTGATTATTCATCTGAGTGGAACTGGACTTGGTATGACTTGACGTAGCTGCTGTCCCATATGTAGAGATGTTTGTCTCTGGGATTGTATGAGATCATGGACAGAACCCCTCCAGGTGCCCTCAGATCTAAACTGACACTAACAGGCTTCTCTTTCAGGAGGTCAAAGGCGTACGTCACTTTTGTGTCTTTAGTATCCGTGACGTAGAGGATCCCGCAGGCGATAAATGCATTACCGACCTTGGTCCTGGGATAGGTGGCGTTGATGTATGTGGTGACGGAGAATGTTTTCTCATCCAGTCGTGCCACCATTATGTTGTCGTCAGTGTCGGAGGCAAATATGATCCACATACCGTTCTCATCCACTGCCAATTTGAAATAGGTCTTTGAGTTCTCAAGGAGGTAGGACTTATTGTGATAGAAAGCATTTTCAATGGTCAGCATGTGTAAGATCTTCGTCTGGAGGTCAAACCTGGGAATATTGGAGAATTGACAGCATGTGTTAAGAACATTGTGTATTCTTACAGATTATTTTAGGGCTTTTTGATGTTGTTCTAAAGCTGTTATACTTTCATTCTTCCTTGGAACACTAATAGTGAGGTTTTGTTCAAAGTGTTGATTTTTAATGGGGACCGTTGCATCTTAACATGCCATGTTTGAATTGAATCGCTAATGAGTTTGAGAACTATGGCAGAGGGGAAGATTCCTTATGAATGACTGTCAGCCATTGTGTGTCAAAGAGACATGTCTTAAAATTCAGCCAAAAGTTCATTGGTTGCTCACACGTGAATTGTACAACTACATTTTTAGGCTTAACTATCACTAAGAAAAGTAGTAGGCCATTTTTTATTTTTTTTGTAGTTTATGTTAATAAATAGTTTGAGTTAGTAAATACATTTGCATTACAATTTAAACAGGAATTACATCGTTTGGTTACACTATATTTTACACTTAGGAAAAGAGGCACAAAGCTGTCACTAGGCTGGTTTTCTCAGGTAAAAAATTTAAAAGGTGCATTTTTGTACCTTCTTTACCCCTAGATAGATACATATTAGTGCTTCAAAAAGTACATACCAGTATCACATATATACCTTTTGAAAGGATACCGCCCCAGTGACCATTTTGCACCAATTTAATTTTATTAAATTTTTTTTAATAGGGTGCTCTTGTTGCAGTGTAATTATACAATTAAGTACTGAGCAATATTAATTAACGTACTTACTATAGGGTTAGAGTTAGGATTAGGGTTTGGTTTAGGCTTAGTTGCATGCAATTATGCATAATTCACTGTTATTACTGTAATAAGTACATGTAATATATAACAAAGACACTAAAATTGTTACCTAAACTGTTAAAAGTCTGTCCATTTATTTCACTGTTACATTGAACTTCGGTACATTTCAAACATGTATTAAATAAATTGTTTAAATTCTATTATATTTAAATTCTAAATAAATTATATTTGAAAGGGGATGTATTTATTTATTTATTAAAATGAAAATTGGTTCCTTCATTTTATTAAGTGGCACTCTTATTCCTCCATATGTTTGGAGTGATGTAATGACAGAATTTTCATTTTTGGCTCAATTAAATTACGTATAATCATGATATTTATCAAGGAGATCTGCCCATGCTATCTTCAGACATACTTAGCAATATTGGAAGTTCCCGCGATGTGGTAGAATATGGAGTCGTTATGTACAGCGTGGCCGCAACCTTGGAAAAATTTCCGGACATCAATGGATTCACTGCTGCTGTTCTGGAATGCCGCGATACTGTTGTATTCCTTTATGATACGTCCTAATAAATTTGTGAACATGAAATAGGGAAAATCTCAAAAGCAATGTTCCAGGTTCAATACAAGGTGCTCTATTACAGCATTTAGTGCACAATGTCAAATACTACAGATTAAACATTTTGATTACAGTTAATACTTTCAAATGAAAGTAGAGTTTAAATGCAGAGTTTATATGCTGTATTGATGAGTGTTTGTTCTCTCTTCAGTACCTGAGAAATGTTCTGCTACCCAGATATTCTCATTGTCATGAGCAGCAGTGTCCATCATCCACGCTCCAAACGTGCTGCTCATTTTCATCAGATGTCTTGGGTTCTGCACTGACTTTCATTGATGAGTGTTTGTTCTCTCTTCAGTACCTGAGAAATGTTCTGCTACCCAGATCTTCTCATTGTCATGAGCAGCAGTGTCCATCATCCACGCTCCAAACGTGCTGCTCATTTTCATCAGATGTCTTGGGTTCTGCACTGACTTTATGACACAGTCTGCCAAACACAATCACACTGTCAGTGGTGAAGTTTAATAAAGGCTGTAGTTCAATGTAGAACAACTAATACATTGCTCTAGTTGGTACCGTTTATCTTCCGTGATGCCATTTTCTGGCTGATGGTGTCATCATTTGGGACTGAATTAAGGTGACCTAAAGATAAACATAGAGATTACATATATAATATGTGTCTTATGGGGAAAATCAAACCCAAAATCAAAAGAGAGAGAGAAAAAAATACTTATATAGCATAAAGAACATTAGAAATGTGATTACTGAAAATGATAAAATATTAAAACATTAAAATATTTTGTAAATTGTAACAAAAATGATGTAAGTTATTGTAACTAATGCAACATGTCTGTACATTAAGTGTTTTATAATTCTCATTATCATCAATGGAAGAAAGAAGATAGTTTTGTTTGTTTTATGATTATGAGGTAATTTTGAAATATTTATATGCACAATTTATCATTTTAGCCATTTTTAACTTACCCACAGACTCCTTCCCCATGTGGAGATGTGCTCTGTGGCTCCTGTGTCTTGGTGGCCCCTGAGGCCCGGGGGGCACTGGAAGGCCAGGTGGACCAGGGAGGCCAGGGGGCCCCATCGGACCAGGTGGACCTGCGAATTAAATCAGAGGAAATATGACCCTTTAGCTGTGACTATATTCCAACATCCACATATACCTTCTTGCTTAAAAATTGCCTATTAACTTTTTTTCCCCAATAAAAACAGAACTCGTCTTTACCCTCTACGATGACATAATTTGAAGGTTCGCCCTGTTCTCCGGGGGGTCCTGGGAGTCCAGGATATCCTTGCTCTCCTCTATCACCAGGCTCACCCTTCTCACCTGGAGGACCTGCACACACGTACAAAGAAGCAAAAAATCATTCATTCACGGTTCCATGCAGCACAGTTCTCAAATCATTCAGTGCCGGTTATTATGTTATTATAGTCATGTAATAAATGTTACAGTTTCAGTGCCTTGCGAAAGTATTCATACCCCTTCATTTTTTTCACGTTTTGTTATGTTGCTGCCTTATGTTAAACTGCTTTAAATTACTTTTTTTCCACATCAATCTACACTCCATACACCATAATGGTAAAGCAAAAAAACTGTTTTTAACATATTTCCAAATTTATTAAAAATAAAGAACTTTAATGATTCCATTGCATACGTATTCATACCTTATATGGGACCGTTGCAATTTAGCTCAGGAGCATTCATATTGCTTGTAGATGTTACTACACTTTGAGTGATGGTAAGCTGTGGAAAATTAAATTGAATGGGCATGATTTGGAAAGGCACACACGTCTTAATAAAAGGTCTAACAGCTGATAATGCATATCAGAGCAAAAACCAAGCCCTGAGGTAAAAACTGCCTGTAGAGCTCAGAAACAGGATTGCGTCAAGCCACACATCTGGGGAAAAGTTCAGAAAAAAATTCTGCTGCATTGAAGGTTCACAGAAGCATGTAGTCTCTGTTACCCTTAATGGAAGAAGTTTGAAACAACCAGGACTCTTCCTAGAGCTGGCCTCCTGGCCAAACTGAGCAATTGATGGAGAAGGGCTTTGGTTAGCATGGTGACCAAGAACCTGATGGTCACTCTAGTTGAGCTCCATGATCATATGTGGAGATAGGAGAAATCTACCGAAGGATAAACATTACTGCAACACTCCATCGATTTGGACTTTATGGCGGTGTGGCAAGACTCAATCCTC